AAATAGTAATTAAGAATTTAAAAACAAATACTTTTAAAAAAAATTATAAGATGTATCCAAAAAATAAAGTTACAATTAATGTATAGACTTGCATAAAAATTTATTCTTATTTAATGTTAATGAGAAGATTATTTTTTAAAAGTATATGCATTTGATCTTTATATATTTATTTATAAAATAATAATCAATAAAATTAGCATAAAAAATTGTATTTGAATAATTAGTTGGTTTGTCTAAAAAGTATTTTAATTATTTTATTTCAAATAAATCGTTTCTATAATGTTAAAAAAAATATTCATAGTAAATAATTTGAATTTTATTGAAAGATGTATATTTTTTTTATAAAAATAATAATTTAATATTTTTTATATGTTTTAACCATATCTAGTGAACTGAGATAAATTATTTGGAGTACACTTTTAACCTCTTAGAATAAAATAATTATACATTTATATACATGCAACTATCATTTAAAAATTCTAAGAATTCATGATATCTATAATATCAATTTATTTTTTGAAAAAGAAAAAGCAATCATGTTTTAAAATTTTATAAGAAAAATTTTAATTGGATGAGAATTTTCAGAAAAAATGATAAATTCAATGAATGAAATTTAAATAATAAGAGTAATATAAGTTAAAGTATATGTTAATTTTAAAATATAATACATATACGTTGCATGGAAATGAAAGAAAAATAAAAGCCGAGGATAGAAAAAAATATTACAACATGAGGGATGAAAATATAAAAGTGTTAAATTTGCATATTAATGCCCAAAAACACACATAAAAAACCACATACAAAAATTACTTAAATTACCATAACGTAAATAGTGATTTTATGCATAGGAATAATAAGTGACTATGAATTTTAGACATATGAACGAGTTTAGATTCTCGCGCTACGTTGCGGACCCCAGCGTAGCACGAGAATCCGAACTAAACATATTTATTTCAATTTGATAACATATACTACATCATCGGTTAATTAAAATATATTAAATTAAATATAAAAGATAAATTTTTATCTGATTTTATAATTTTTAATCAAAATTTTGTGTGTGTGTGTGTTTGAAGTAAAAAAAATATGATATGCTATTTCTTATGCATTTATTCTTAAATAAATTTTAATATAAATTTTTTTAAAAAAAGTCTTAATATTTTTTTTATAACATTGCATCGAAGAAATAAAATAAAAATTAATATAAAAGTTTGTATGAAAATTAACAAATGAAGCTATTTTAATGATGAAAATAATTTTTTTTAAATATGTACATTTTATTTATATATATATATTTACGAAAAAATGAATGATATTAGCATGTAAAATTATATTTGAATTATTAGGCGATTATTCTAAAATATTATATCAATTATTTTATTTAAAAAATAATTTTAAAATATTAAAAAAATAATAGCTAATAGTTGGTATTGTGTATAGATGCATAGTTGATTTCTAATAAAATCAATAACTCTAATATTATTATTATTTATACATCATGACGAGTACTCAATGGGTAAGAATATATAGTATAAATTAAAAAATATTTTAAAAAATTAAATTATAAAGTGTATATTGAAGTTAATAGAGTGCAATAAAAAATAAAAAATTGATTTTGATAAAATTTGATTATATAAAAAATAAGAAAATAAAATACATATATTTTATTTATAAAATTTAATTATATAAGAATTAAGAAAATAAAAATAGGTATTAAAAAAACTTATTCGAATTCATACATAGAGAAAATAAATCATATTTATTAATAAATAAAATTATATAAAAATAATAATAAAATTAACTTGATGTGAATTTTTATAATAAATTGAAAATATCAATTTTAAATAATAAGAGTAGTATATATTTATTCTAAAATCTAAAAATATATCGTATATATTATATAATCGTCAACTTATGTGAAAAAAATGATGATTGATTTTTCAAAATTTTAACGCCCAGTTAAATAAAAAAAGAATATAAATTGATGAAAAAAAATCAAAGGCAAGAAAAACATGTAGTGCATCAACTAGGGGGTTAAAATTTTAGGGACTAAAATGAACAACTTGAAGAAAAAAACCTAACTACAGTGAGTGAATAGTAATTTGTGAGAGAGTGAACAATGAAAGTCATTGTTCAAAGATCCCACTTTTTTTAGTTAGATAATAATAAGTGGAGTCACAACTCCTAAGACGTGTATTAGAAACTAGTTTCGTTTAGAAGTTTGTCTCTCCTTTGCATAAATAAAAAATCAAATTTTAAGAGTTTAAATAAACACACACACACGAGTGAAACACTAATCTTATCTATATTCAAAGATTAAATTTTAAGAATTTAAATACATACATACATACATATATGTCTTATCTATATTCAAAGACCAAATTTTAAGAATTTAAATACATATACATACATACATCTATACATATGATAGGCATATTTGTTGTGTGATTATGGTTAAATTAGATGAGTATGAAGGATGAACCTAAGGTAAAGGTTTCGGCTGACTTGGAAATTGAATAAAGAATGATTGATTTTGTAAAGTTTGTATTTAATTATGGTTAGGCGATGTTAAATGTTGATGTTCATTAGAGGGCCATTCAACCAACCCCTCAAATTTAGGGTTAATGGAATTCAATGGTGGAATTGTTAAATTAGATGTTTATATCATTAATTATTTAGGATTAAATGTATTTAAATGGATATCTAAATTCTTAAATTTGTCTTTGAATATAGATAATACACACACACGCATATATATATATATATTCTTAAAATTTGGTCTTTGAATATAGATAAGATGAGTGTTTTACTCACGCACGTGTGTCTATTTAAACTCTTAAAAGTTGGTTTTTGAATATAGATAAGACTAGTGTATTGCTCGTGCATTACTTGCAGCATCCAGGTTTATAGTCGTATATGTTTGCTATATGTATGTATATATTTAAACTCTTCAAATTAATATTTTCTTGATCTTTTTTTAATACAAGTGTGATTTTTCTACTTTGTTATATATATATATATATATAAAACTCGAATTGTTTGTTTGATATTTAATAATATTGTTTCAATTTTTAAACTGATTATTTGATTTGGTTGAATTTTTATTATTTCTAGTTTATTTTCTAATTATTATTTCTAATATAAGATAAAACATAACAAGTAGCAAACTATATGTTATTTATCTAAAATTTATCTTTTTATTGTTATATAGTATAGATAAAATACATAAATTTTATTGTTTTGACGTTTTTTTTTTTGTTTTTCGCTCATACATGGCTAGTCTTCGTATACATACCTCACTTCCAAATAAATTCTTTCCTCTTTTTTTTTCTTTCTCATTTTACTTTTAATTATTTAGTTTTTTTCCTAAAATTCCAAGACAAATCATCTAAACTACACTTGTAACCTTTAGATTACACACACATAATCATGCTAGTCTTATTTAAAAATCATAAAAATTCATTATATAAACTTTCTTAGTTTTTTATTTTTTTTAAATAGAGAAGATGATCATGTTTTAAAATTTAACTCTAAAATCCATACACAAAGAAAAATAAATCATTTTTGTCAACAAATAAAATTTTATTAAAATTAAAATTAAAATTTATTCACATGAAAATTTTCATGAAAATGACAAATTGAAAAAATTAATTTTAAACAATAAGGGTTTTATAATATAAAATATATGTTCATTTTAAAAAATAAAACACATTATATGTATTTCTTTCTTGCTATTTTGTGCAAAAACTTAAAAAATGATGATTGATTTTTTATAATTTTTACAAAAAATAAATCAATAATTTTTTATAAAAATTAAATTATTGAAAAAAACCAAGTTAGTGAAATAAATTTCAGAATCAAAACAAAACTATGTTTTTTAGAAGATATAAAACACGTCAGATATATTTTTTTGTCATTTTTTAGAAAAAAAACTTTAAAAATAATAATCAACTTTCTATAATTTTTGCAAATAATAATAATAATAATAATTTTTAATAAATTAAATTATTGAAAAAAAAAAGCTAGTGAAACGAATTTCGAAATTGAAATAAAAATATGTAAAAAAAGAGAGTAAAGGATCAAAGTTTAATTTCATGTGTAAAAAAATAAATGAACAAAGTATAATGTAACAACCACGTGAATATTAAATGTTTTAAAAAAATTTTGAAATTACAACAATACTATCTCATAGTAAAAATAATAGCACAAATGAGTTTTAGTGAATAATAAATTACATTAAATTTGGATAAATAGTGTTATAAATAATAAACAAGTTAGTATTTTTTTAATAACTTATGTATCATGTGTGTTATTTTTAAATACCACTGGTGCGTCCTATTTTCTAACCAGATCGACTCAATTAAAAAATAAAAAAAAAGAAGATGATAAAAGAGGTATAAAAAATGGGAGGGACCTTTGGCACAGGTGTTTTTTATGTTTTTGTGAACTAAAAAACCAAATAGATTATTTCTCACTTGGCGGCCCCAGCATACTTATAGAATCGTGTCATCATCATTAACTCACCCTCAAAACTACTAGAAACCAAAAAAAAAAAAAAAAAAAACCCAAAAAAAAAAACTTTTTCAGGGATTCAAACATAAGTTCTTTTATGCATGTTTATAAGAAATTTATACCACCATGGACTTTTCAGAGGATTTAAAATTAACGATTCATACAAACATTTTAGATTTAAACTTTTTTTCCTTGGATTTAACGCATTCCTCCTTCTCCATCTCCAATCGAGTGGTCAAATTTTGTCTTAATGCTTGTGATAGGATTTAAGCAGAATAATTCATATCAAAATAAATATTTTTTTTAAGAAAATGATAATTAAAACCTTAAACCCCATCGAATGGGTTTGCTGAAGAGACAAACTAAAAAAAAAAAAATCTTATTGGAGGAAGGAATCACTTATGATATATATCCATCTAAATTTCGAAAAAGATTTAAAAAACATGGGGTTATCAACGAGAAAGTAAGAATGTTGGGATGGGATGCCAATGGTGACGAAGAATGAGAGGAGAAAGAGAGCGTTTGTGCAGGAAACTGGAAAGGCTTTTGATCAGGAGGAGAGTTAATGATGTAAATGTGGGCCTTCAGATAACAAATCTATAAGAAAATATTAATTTGGTCTTTTTAACATAAAAATAAAAATAAAAAAGGACATGCCAGTAGGCCGTTCGGCCGTGGCAATAGCGATACCCTAAGAAAAAGATATTTTCTGCCCTAGAGCTCTCTCTCTCTCTCTCTCTCTCTCTCTAATGAAACTGCCGTCATCGTATAAAATTTTTTTAGGGATTCTATCGGCCACTAACTAGCTCCAGTGGCTGCCTTTCAATCCTTTTCTATTCTCGTCTCTTGTCTTTTTGTCTCTTCTTTTTCTTTTACTTTCTATGTTACTCTATTTTTTTGTTGCTTTCTTTTTCTTCACGTTCCCTTTTTTCTTTTACTTTTTCTCGCTCTATGTTTTCAATACACATCTTTCAATTTTTATCCATTTGTTTGGTTCTTTAAGTCAGATATAAGCTGTTTGATTATAGATTTTATGTTGATTGTTGGCTGTTTAGATGTATTTTTATGCGAATATGAAGGGTTTAAATGCTTCAGTTTTGCATTAGATTAGGTGATAAAAAGGTTTTATTAATGGATGATTATTTGGAGATATGGGTTTTAAACACGTGGAGTTGGTTTTTCATTGGTTTTTTTCAAGATCAATATTCTCTTGTGTCCTTATATAGGAGTTCAAGTTTTGAATATTATATTATTATATATTAAAATGACTTTATTATATCTATGTTGTCGACGTCGGCCCACAAGAGAGGAATAAGAATTCGTTACTTAGCTAATCGAGAGAGCTAAAAAACTGATCTACATAAATATCTAGATAAAAAATCGATTACGCATGAAAAATATATAATATCATCGTCATTCCGTCTTACTTAAAAGTAGGTTGCATTGTTTGCTTGTGAATATAAAAAATCTAATTCTTTTACTGTGTTATGCTTCTATGCCCATTTAAATGAATTTATTTTGTTAAAATGTAAAAACAAGATAGTTTTGGGGTTTAGATAGAAAACATGATAATTTGAAGGTTCAGAGTTGGTTTAAGGTCAATACCCTCTACTCAAAGTGGAAAGGTGAGAGAAATTAGAATTTCACCTAGTCTTTATTGAACAAGACCTATTATCAACAAGTAGGTGAGTTTCTAAAGATGAATAACCTTTTATTAATATAAGCGACGATTCATCGATAACTTCACTCATACAAAGGGAAAGCCATTGATAACTTCGAGTCATGAATTTGAGAAGCTATCGGGGCAACTTCGTCGCACAAGTGGAAAATCACCAACCACCTTATTTTTCTTGAGCAAAGAGCAAATAACTAGTTCAAAAGCCATCGACAACTTCATCACATAAGTGAGAAATCACCGATGACTTTATTTTAGACAAGCGAGACAATCAAATATAATCTTGAAACCATTGACGGCTTCGTCATATAAGTGAAAAGCCATCAATGACTTCATTTTAGCGATTTAAAATTAAACAAAACTAATTTGGGAGTCGCTTGCGACTTCATCCACATAAGTGGAAAGCCACTCGTGGTTTCGTTTTGAGCAACTAGAAAATAGGTAAAAATGTTTCAAAACCATCGACTACTTCGTCACTAGGGGTGTTCATTCGGTTTTTCGGTGTTTTTTTTTGTTTTCGGTTAACCAAATTGGCTAAAACAAAAATCGAAACCGAACCGAATTTTTTTGGTTCAGACTTTTCGATTTTCTAGTTAAAAACCTTTTTTTTTCCTTCTAAAAATCGAATTATTTTGCTTTTAAAAAATATCAAACTTGCATAATCAAAGATTGCATATTTCACATTTGATTTTATAAGAAAATTATGTATGATTATTATTATTTTTCTATAATAGATATGTTTCTATTTCTATTATAAACTAAATTAGTTGGGCTTCTCATTATTTTTTCAATCACGCTATAATTGGTTTTTTTAATTAATTTTTCATATTTTTTTTAATCTATTTATTTTGTGCATATTTTATTGTTGAATATATAATATGAAAAATTCAATTTTTAATTTATGTTTGTGCCAATTTTAATACAAGGAGACAATTTTTTTTTCATGAGGTTTTAGGATTCATCCATACATAAATTTATGTTCTTATAAAGAATTTCTTTATCATAGTCTTTTTTTTATTTTTTTGTGAGTCAATATAACATAATCAATTATTTTTTTATTTCAATAACTAATTAATGAAAAATATTTCTATTTTAAGTAGAAAAAAATCATTAAAGCTATCGTTCTTTTAGTTAAACCCATAGGTGCCTTTTTGATTTTTTTTTAAAAAGAGTTTGGGTATGTGTTTAAAAAAAAAAGCTAATTCGGTTTTCGATGGAAACCGAATTTGAAAAAAAAACGAACCGAACGAAATAATTTCGGATTTCAATTTTGGTTTTTTTTTTAATTTTTTTTTAAATCGAACCGAAATTGTTAATTCGAGTTCGGTACGATTCGATATTTCGGTTTTAACCGAATAATGAACACCCCTATTCATCACATAAATGGAAAGCCGGTGATAACTTTGTTATAGCATTATAATCAAACATGGTAAGTCACTCACATCACAAAAATAGGCATAAATTTCACATTAAACATGCGAGATATAAAACATGGTAGTTGTCCATAATAGCCATTAAAACAACATTCGCTTCAATCACATTTAAATCATGAGTATTTAAATGCCAAGTGACAATTTCTTTCACATTTTAAAGGAGTGCAATCTTTTTTTAATTCACATTTTAAAGGAATGTAGTCATTTTTAGATTTTTTACCTAAAGTATTATGTAGTTCAAGTGTTTGATTCGATGATCAATTATACTCTCTGCATCCACGATGATAATTGATTGTTTAGTTAGCCAAAGAAGAAGAGTGACTACATGTTATCAAAATGTTATATAAATATTGTCAAAGCAATCGAAAGTCTCTAAAATCTATGCAACTTGCCAAAGTTGTTGCTATCGCCAAAGTTATTATAAGTTTTACGAGTAACTTTGTAAATTTTCTAAAATCCTTATAATTTGGAGGGCTTGGCAATAAAGTTATTGTTGTGTTTTTTCAATTAAAAAAATATAAATACAATCTACAACACCATGTTGTTCCTTTTAAATGTAATCAATCTAACAATATTTTTTTTAGGTTTCGTTTCGATCCATAAATAATTTATCTCTATTATTTTCAACGATCAAATAACAAACCGTCTTGTATATTTTTTGTTACTATTTTACTCCTTGATGGAAGTGATCGGTTGGCTATTATTGGCATGCAAGAGACTACAAGGAAGGCCTACGACCAGGCCGGCTCGCCGGCTATTTGCCTACTCGTGGACTAGCTAGCCTATCGACGACCGGCTCGGGCTAGCCCGACGGACGTGGAAGGGGCCTATGGGGTTAGCGTGTAGGCTGCAGAGGAAATTAGAGGCCTCCAAGTTGTGTTGTGCATAAAAAAGGTTGTTAGAGGTTTATTTGCTTGGGGTTATTGCATGTAAGGAAGAGAGTTGTGCAATTGGGCTCGTGTGAGAGGAGAAGAAATTGTTGTGGTTGTGTTGCACGTAGAGGCTCGTCGTATTGATGTGCGGCTAGGCACGCGAGAGGCCGTCGCATAGGCATGGATGTGTAGTTGGGCGAGCAAAGGGTTGTTGTGTAGGTGTGCAAAAGAGAGTAGGGCTATCGAAGCAAGGTTACTATTAGCTTCGATTAGAGTATTGGAGGTTGTGATGAGAGTATGTGAGGGAGTGAAGGTGATTAATGGAGGGCTAGCAACTTGGTGTGGGTTGTGTTTTTCTAATTGAAAGTAGGGGAGGAGGAAGATAAAGTGTGGCTACCTCCTTCCCCTTTTTGTTATTGCAACTGAATATGATGAAGAAGATAAAGGCGTGTGAGGTCGTGAGAGGGGCACTAGAGAGAGTGACTTTTGGTTGAGTGAGAGCTTATAAGGGAGATGGTGGTATTATGTGAGTTTGGGTTGCAATAAAGAGAGAGAGAGCTCGCTAGTTTCTTAAGATAATGAATGAATAATAGAAGATATCAAAAAAATGCAAGAGGGTTTTTTTATTAGTAATTTTATAGGTTTCTTAACAAAGTTTAATTTAGTCCTTGGTTTTCCATAATGCATGCATCAATTTAAGTTTGATTTTGTTCTTTTTTGTCTCGATGGATCCCTTAAATTTCAATTCAATGAGACTTTTTTTTTTAATTTGTTCCAATTGTGCTCTCTTTAATTTAAATAAGATACTAAAGTTTTGGAATTTTTTAATTGGGCCCTCAATTATCTTTTTTTATTTCCTAACTTTCTATTTTTTTAATTAGCCCCCTTTCCGGAATTAATATAAGCTAATTATTTCAATCGATCTGATTTTTTATTTTTATGCATTTGGCATTTTTTTTAATCATTTTATTGTATTTTTTCAATAGAAATAAAAAATAAAATAAGAGCAAAATTAGGAGCTAACACATGTTATTTTTTAAATTATCGAAATTTGACAACATGAGTTGCACATGACATTTTTTTTAAATGAAAATACCTCTAAAAAATGAAACCATGGAGTAACCTAATTTGCACATGAGAGATATTTTTTGTCAAAAGACATGTCATATACAAGTCACGTCGTCACGTCGTCAATTTTGATGATTTGGCTAGAAAAAAATGACCAAAAAAATATATTAGAAACTAACAAAAATAATATAGGCATAACAAAGTCGTTTCATGACACAAGAATAGATTGAAAACTTAAATCATTATATAACAACAAATGAAATTATTATGATGCAAATATGGGTTGCTTAAACCTCAATGTTATCATCAACAAGGAGATGGGCTATTTCATTTTAAGCCCAATAACAAGGGCTAGAATCAAGAAGTTTCATGAGTCCTTAAATGGGCTTATTCAACATTAATGGGCTGATTTCTCCATCACTAGGCTTGAAGAACATCAATTGGGCCTTGTGAATTTGATCCATGCTATTGGGCCAACATTTTTAGACTTAAAGTTCAATCTGACAAAACTTTTTTATCTTGATGTTTTGGGCCGAGATTGTTAAGTGGCAATTATAGAATCGGTCGACTTCAAAGCCAAAGTCACCATTATTTTCAAATCAACAAAATCAAGCTTTGGGCTCGAAATTATAGATGCTAAATTCAAGGATTTTTTTTCTAATTTCGGGGAGTCTTATTCAAAGCTTTGTTGGATCTAATATTTCATATTGTTAGATCCAATGTAACTTTAATCAATCTTTTAATCAAATCAACCTTTGTGAGAAAATTCACACCTTAGTTCTTTCCAAAATAGAATTTCAGAACTTATCAAAAGTCTAATTCGATTCTTGTGGCGTTTGAGTGACTTATCACTCCCTTTCTACCTTTTTTAGAGTGTGGCGTTCATATCCTTCTAATTTGATTTGGCTTTTCGAGAATTCTTCCTTCTTTTTCGTGGGTTCTTTAACCATCGAGCTAGACGAATTCACGTCATATTAACTTTTTTTTTATAACATTAGTTGATAAAGAATAAAAAAAAATATCACACACACATTCAAACTATAGGTCAATTATGACAACGTTTAAAGAAACCCACTATAACTAAAAGCTCACAAAAATCATAATCACACCTTTAAGAGATCAATCCAAGAAAATATGAAGCATAATTCTAAAATAGTCATTGAAAACGATATAAAAAGTTAAAAGTATTATAAAAGAAATGATAGCAATAATATAATTGAAGAGAAAGATGTTAGAAGAACGAATTTCACTACGAAATAAAGTAAACACAATAGATAACAACTCCAAACAATTTTTTTAATCTCTACAAAACACTTTTACTCAAATTAACTAACAACCAAGCTTATTTGTAGGCTTCAAGTTTAGGGAAAAAATTAAAAGGGACTATGAACTATTAAAAAGTGCATAAATAATTAAATCAATTCCATCATCCTTTTAATTTCTCATACCGAATGGTAAATTGAATCTTATGAGTAGCGAGAATATGAAATGGTCATAGACATTTATTATTTTATAACACTCCCTTTTAAATTTTCATCGTATAAAGAATATGTTTTGTTAAAATCTTATTAAGAAAAAACTCGATAGAAAAAAATTCTAGTGAAGAAAAAATAATACAATATTTGTTGTACATATTAATTTATATGTTGGACTCTTCTTATTAACAACACCATTTAACATTTTTAAGACGACATATCCCAATCTTGCATATCTTTTTGTCACCAACTAAGTGAACACTTCTTTTTTTCTTTTTGCAATGTTATCTGTCTTTTTGTCTGGGTTCAGTAGGATCAAGTAGGATCAACTAATGATGAGTATTAATCCTTGATTGCACCTAATTTCGTAGTATTTGATTTACTATAGAGCACACACACTGGTGTTTTCCTACAATACTAAAATTAAGAAACGCTATAAGAAATTATAACATGTACAAAAGACTAATTTGTATGACTTAATATTTCGAGAGCATCAAGTAAGATTGCTCGAATATCATTATTCAATCACTTGTCCATTCGTGGTTTAAAATAATATTTGTCTTGTTTAAATTTTAAATGAGCTATGAATCATATATATATATATATATATATATATATATATATATATATATATATATATATATCTGATGATCTTGTTTTAGTTTGGGATTGGTGAATACTGCTGAAAAACTACAGACATTTGGTCATTAAATGTGAGGTTGAGGATTTTTTTAAATTATTATTTTAGAGTCGTCTAATATTATTTACATTTTTGTTTTATATTTTTATTTTGAAATTTTTAAAAATAAAAACACAAAACAAGCATTTTGATTTTTTCTTTAAAAAAAAATAAAATAAACAATCGCTGTTATTATTTTTTTTACATTTGTTTGTTTGTGTTTGTTTTCAAATTTAGTTTTATAAGCACAAAAGAAAAGAAAACGATACAACAAGCCGTGCTATTTTAGCATTTGTTTTGTACAGCAGTCCCATCTCCCGTGCGAATGACTTGTAGGACACTTTGTGTAAGACGATTTTGCTCGGAGAGATGCTACGTGGCGGGTCCCAATTCAATCAGATGCTATAATAGTGGGAGCATTTACTTTTTGTTAATTATAGCTTTGCAAGTGTACGGAGAAGCATGCTGATGTGCGAGGATAAGACTCAAAGGCCTGTGCCTTTCGTGCTGTAATGAAAGAGAAAGAAAGTTCACCCAAAAAAAAACTGAAAGAAAAAGAAAGCTAGAGATTTGGATCATCAAAAGCCTAAACTTTTGGGCATGTCTTAAATATCTTTGCAACATACTTCAAGTTTAAGGAACATGGTTTGCCCTAATAAAATATTTTAATTATTTTATACGACGAAAGTTCCAAATTTAAGTTCCAAATCAAGGTACTTTTAGTCATTTAGTCACCTTGTATGTAAATAATATTGTCATTTTGTTTGTTCTTGTGTTAATTAATGACACTAATTAAAGTGAGTCCCTACTAATTCAAATAAAATAAGATGAAAAAGGTGAAGAAGAAAAAATGAATTCCTTCTTTTTCCTCCGTTATCAAAAGAAAATTCATAGTTCCAATTAAGCAGAAACAAAAGAAATAAAATCTAGCAAGCTAGTTTATTTTGTTATTCACACGCTCTATTTTAAGTGCTAATTAATTAAGATAATATTAGAAAGGAAACCCTGTCGCAAAAGCACAAGTACGTGGATCAATTATTCATCAATCACTGCACATACGCTACAACAAGGTGGAGAATTACGCTAGCAAATGAGCATAGTACCCTAGCCATACAAAAAACCACATTCCTGGTTTATGTGTTTGCTACCAATGATTTGTTATGTTCAATTTAGTCCTGGTATTTAGTATTTAGTATTTTCTAAAGCTGTCCGTGGTTGCATTGGCAAAAGAAAAAGGCTAAGCAAGGGAAGGGGAGGAGGCAATAAGTTTTGCTACTATAGACTGAAAATTACTATACTACCACCTATTCTTTCACAAAGCAATTATTTATTTATTTATTTAGTTATTTTGAGAAAGTGAACTTCAAAACCATACTATCTCGAGAACGTAATTTTTTCATGAATACTCTAGTTTTTTTTGTTAAAAAATATAATAAAATCATTTTCAGATCCTTATTTAACAACTTAAGATTTTAAAATAAAATAGTTTTAATTTGGACAAGAATGCAAGACTAAATCGAAGAGATCATGACTTAATTTCAGGACGCGCACTAGCATATATCAAAGTACCATATAATTGCCAAAAAGAAAAAGGAAAAAAAAGACAATTTTTTAAGCGCCTCAAACTTGGATTACACACTTTGGTGCGTTTGGGAGTGTGGTGCTTGACACCCCAAACACCGACTTTTACATTAACCAACATTTTGTTTTACACAATCATGGAGAGAAGTACATTATTAATTATATTAATTTAAGTACCATTAAGCACACCACACGGTACGCCTAAAACCATCCTACTGAATTTTCTGATCAAAATCAGTAGATTCATTATATAACTTTGCTCCATCGTTGAACCGCATGACATTCCAGAGGCCTTTTCATTTCAAGAGAGAGCCTTAAACACTCGGAAAGATCCACAGGCTTTGCGGGTAGCCATTTGTACTCATGTAAAAGCCGTGCGAGCCACAGGTGCACCGTGGCTAATCCAAGTGCCTTGCCTGGACACACCCTGCGCCCTGACCCAAATGGTGCAAGCCTTAAATCTGAGCCCATTATCAACACATCCTCTTCCATGAACCGGTCTGGGTTGAAGGTCAATGGATCCTTCCAAATGGATGGGTCATGTGTTATGGCCCACATGTTGACCATTGCTGTTGTGCCAGCTGGGATGTACATTTTGTCCACGTGTACATCATGGACGGCAAGGCGGGCCCACGAGAGTAGTGGGCCAGGTGGGTGCAGCCTTAAAACTTCTTTGACTATTGCTTGGATATAGGAAAGATTAGGGATATCAGAATCTTGTACTTGCCTATGGTTACCGATGCAGTTGTCGAGCTCTTGCTGGGCCTTCGCTTGGATTTCTGGGTGCAACACCATCCGAGCCATGATCCACTCGAGAAGTGTAGCAACTGTTTCCGTTCCTCGAAATATCATCTCCTGTGTTATATCGTCCGAAGACAAAATTATTGTCGTGAGTTACTTTTAGCACATATTAAAATACTACTAAGTATTTATTTTAGTCCTTTGTTCATTTAGGAGTGCGCCCTAAAAAGAACAAAGAAAAACGTGGAAACCACAAGTCAATGGATTATGTTTTGCAAGTCAATGGACCAGAAGAAGTGTGGATAAAAAGATAAGTAAAAGGAGATTATATGTGCAATATTGGCTCATAAAAGTTATAACCTACGGCTACAATCTGGTCTATTCTATCTACCTATAACTTTAAACAATTAGGAGTTAAGTCAGATCATGATGGTTCTCCTCTAATCTTGAAAAATTGAAGCAAAAAGAAAAAAAAAGAATCTTTTGAATTCCTTAGGTTGTCAAATGTCAATAGATCTCGACCGTATCAGAACTAAAGAAAATGCCTACAAAATCTGTATCCAGCAGCAATATCTACATTAATTAATACTTGAATACTTTTAAGGATCTGTCAAATAAAGGAAACTGAAAAGGATATAGTGCAACGAAGGGCCTAGCTCGTGGGAGTAATTGGGGAATAAAAGATGTGAGAAAAAGATCGTCGCTGATCATTAGCATCATTAAAGAAAAAGACACGTAAAAGGTGGAGGGGTTATAAGATATCTTGCTAAGATATTTTTAGATTTGAAAAATAATTCACTAACGAGATATTAATAAAATTTTAGGCTCCTAGTATCTCAACATTTTGTATTTACATACATTCCCCTCAAGTTTCTTATAATTTCTAAAATTTACTCTTTATGTCATATAAAGATTGTCAGGCTTGACCTTTCCCTTTATTAAAAGTATTATATCATTATTTTTTTATTCATATTTTAAAAATTAGTCTTTTTTAATTATAGATTCCTTATAATGAGATTTAATTAGGAGTATTGTGGTAAGATATATTAAAAATAGGCTATTTTAATTGTAGATTCTTTACAAATGAGTTTTAATTAGGAGTATTATATATAGTAAAATACATTACTTCAATATTTTGATTAAACAATCATTTTGGAATAAATAAAAATAAAAAATGAACAATATTTTTAAAATAGAAAGAATTAAAAAATCCTTGTTGCAAGTATATTCAAGGAAAGAACATGGTTTCTTATATTTTTTTATAATCTTCATTTTAGATCAGAAATTAGCCTTCTTCCCATGTTTTTAAAGCTTAAACAATGATCTAAGTTTTCACATAGTACAACTTTGGTCCCTTAATTTCAAATATAAAATACGAAGACTAAATGTCAATTTCACTATTTTCACACGAAATTCAGGAACTTTGTAAAGTAATTTATCAAAAAAAAAAAAAAAAAGCCAAATGATTGGTTTAATTTATTTTTTAAAATTGACTAGAGAAAGAGAGAGTTTGTTTACCCACAAAAGAGGAACCATGTCTGAGTCAGTCAACTGCTCTTCCTCGGGCAAAGATAGCAAAGCACTAAGAAAGTCGCTTCCACTCCTGAAGCCTCCAGCTCTTTTTCTTTCTCTCACAATTTGACCCACAACACTATTAACCTTAGCAGCCAACTTATAACACCTTCTTTTCACCCCATAAAAGTCCAAAAACCTAAGTGGAAAATAGTCCTCCAAATTAAACTTTGTAATCAAGTCAAATCCTTCTTTAACCATGAACCCTAACTCCTCACTTTCTATGTAGACACCACCACCAAAAACACTCTCTAGTACATTACTTAATGAACTTTTTTGTAATATCCCTCTTAACACAACAACCCGTCTCTCCTTCATCTCCTCACTCACTCCTGCCAACATTTCATTAGCTAAACGTTGCCTGAGTGGTTCTAGACCAGAAATTTTCCTAGGGGAAAACATGTAATTTGAAGCAATTTTACGTAAGCGTCGCCAATGGTCTCCGGATGGAGCAAAACCAATGGCACGCTCAAACATTAACAAACGAGCTGATTCCTTTATAGGACGGTCAGCAAAAGAAGAACCGCATAGGATTTCCCTGGCTGTGTCTGGATGGCTACTAATGATCACACGAGTTGTACCTAGACTAAATGCCATAAGCTTAGTTGCACCTAATGAGGTAGCCATGCTAGCCAAATTTCGATGAGCAAGTGAACCCATTTGAGGTAAAGTGCCCAATAGAGGCCAACCAATTGGACCACGAAATTTTGAAGGGTTTTGATTATCGTGCTGGTTTCTCCATGCAAAACCTCCAGGGACTAACCAATAGGTTAGAGAGAAAGCAAAGAAAGAGAATAAAAGGAGAGTAACAGGCCATGGAGTTTGGGGGGTGATGATGATGGATAAGCAAAAGAGTAAGAAAGAAAGGTTCGGTAGTACGGGCTTCATTTCGGAAACTCTTAATTTGAGAGTACTGATGATTGGCAAAAAGGGTCTTTCTTCGAAGAAAAGCAATTAGAATTGTCTAGAGATGGACGTTTGTCATGGGAGGGTCTCATGTAAGTCGATAGGCATATATAGTGTGTGGAAAGTTGATTCTGGTTAAATTATGTGGTTACTTTGCTAACCTTTATTAGTGGCTAAGTATGACTCATGGTTATGAGCCAAGCATTTTTCTTTTTAAATATCTGGTGAAGGAGTAAAGTACAATACGGATTTATTAGTAATATCATTGATATTTGTTCTCTCTCAATTCAAGAATTTAAACTATGGTAGGAGAGTTAACAGTCTCAAATGAATATTTCAAGTTTAAAACTTGCATAAACCTATCATTGTTTTATGCTAAATTTATCAAGTTTTATTTGGAACAAAGAATGCAATGGATTTTCATGATTTGAAATTTGTGATGGTTGATTAAAAGAAAAACAAAACAAAACAGAAAAAAATTCAGAATGATACCAAACAATAACCCAACTTAAAAGTTCAGGCAATTTTATAGTGTTAAATTCACAACTAAATTTGTTATTTCCACCACACGTTTTTTTTTAAATTACTAATACACCCTCTTTATTAATGTTTGGTACTATATTATAGTTAAATATGTTTTATATTAAATACTTAAAATACTCAAAAATTAAATGTGTATGAAAAAAATATTAATTTCAAAAATTGAAAAGCAAAAATATTGATGGATATTTTAAATATTTTGATATAAAACATATTTAATTATGATATAGTAACAAACATTGATGGGAGGGTGTGTTGATAATAATAAAAAAATGGTGAAAATACTCTCTACGTCTCAAAAAAATTGTCCTCTTTTTTATTTATATCTGTTTCAAAATACTTGTATGATCAAAAATTTAAATAATATATTTTTCTAAAATATCCTTAAATAATAAAAAATCAAATATTTCTTTTATGCATAAAAAAAAATCAATATTTTTTATACTTTTATTTTATACATATAAATATCTTTAACATAAAAATTTTAAAGATTTTTTTTTGTTACATGAAAAATGTTCATTCTTATATGAACTTTACTTTATGCCAAAAGTTGGAGAGTAAAATATTTTTATTAGTATGTTATTTTTTTAATAATTATTTTGAACTTGATTATCAATGAAATTAATAATGTTTTTTATTTACTACCTTAATTTTGGATAGATTTTCGTCATAAATTAATATTAATTTCATGTAATGCAAGATAAAATTTGATAAATAATATTTTTAACAAAAAGTATTTTAAAAAAGTGTGAAAAAGTATTATATGACATAATAATTAATAATTTTTTTAAACTGTATAAAAAAAAATGAAATGAGAAAAATTTTTTAAGACAGAGAGAGTAACAAATTTGGTAGTAGATTTAGGAGTATCATAATTTATATTATGTGGTCTTACAAGGCATATGTATAAATGATTGATGATCACAGCAAGCATTTTACTAATATGTTTTTGAAATACAAAAAAAAAAAAAAAAGTGTAGTAATTTTGTGATTAATTTTTGATCAATAAATAATATAATTATGCATAACTATATATAAAAGCAGCGCGCAACTCTTTATAAAAATATTTGATCCGACAAAAGTTTCCTGTAATTTAAGAAACATCTTATATATCCAAAGAATTTTATTGGTAGAGAAATGTATCGTCTTGTAGCTTAATTAGAAAAAGCTAATAAACATCAAGCAATCAATATTTTCTTAAATATACAAATAGGAAGAAAATTTTTATTATATGTGTGTGTGGTTAATTGCAGTTCGATTAACATTTTTGCCCCCTTTTTCAAGAGAATTCAAACTCCAAGCTCTTGCTTAATCGATAATAAGGTTGCAAATTATTTTATCTCTGATTACTTCGGTTTCTCAAATGAAACAGTTGTAGAGACCTCAAATTAACATATTCTTTTTACCTTTGAAATAATTACATTTCTATTTAATCATGAGTGGTTGGGCTAGATTGCTAAGGATTTTGAGTTTAGGGACCAAATCCAGATAGTATAAAAAAAATACGAAGGAGTAAACAAGGAAAAGACAAACCAACCTTCTTTCTATTGTTGAAGTTGCGTCGGCTAAAAAGTTTCAAGAGTGTCCGAGTTTTAAGGTTCTTTTCAATCATGTACACCGATTTTGACTATGATCAGAGTTACAACCTATCTGACTTACCTGCTCAACCTTTACTAACTATAGATTCCTTTCCTTGGCTAGGAAATGCAAGCATACACAATTTTCAATTTGATAAATCATGTAATGATGTAAAGGTTTGGATGCTGGTCCCATGCATGCATGGTGAATATTTGCCAATATGTGTGGCAGACAGGCATCCCACGACCACGAATGACCTTGAACTATTTTTTTCACTTGGATGTTGTCTAGAGGAAACTATTTTTTCATATGAAAAAGATCCACCTCCAAGTTTCCAAGTGAAATATTGATTGATTAGGAATAAAAGTAAAGTACAGTACCCTAGACAAATCTTTGTACTACACAATCTTATTCATAGAATATAGTAATTGCACTCCTGCCTAACTCATCATCAACTAGGAGCTGATCGAGGTTCTTACGGGACTAATGAATCTAATCAAGCTAATTCCTTTAGACACATCAAAAGAATTTAGATTCTAGGGCCTAGGAGAAAGGAAGGCATGATTTATATGGAGTCCATTGGCATGTCTGAACCATGAGAAAGGAAGGCATGATTTAATGAATCTATCCAGGAACTTGACTAAGCAAATTAAAATTCTGCTGATTGATTAGTTGACAGCTGGCTAGGCAGCTGGTCATCAATAAGAAGCATTACGAAGCGTGGTCCAATGTAAATAAAATGATGAGAGAATATATATATATATATATATATATATATATATAAGGTTGTTTTTTGGTTACTAAGAATGAAAAATTCATAACAAGAATGAATAAACCATAATGAAAATTTTATTTTAATAATTTATTTAGAATAATAATAAAAAATTAAAATAAAATTTAAAAATTTTAATGTTTAGTTATTAAGATGAAAATGAATAATGATTAAAAGAATGATTTCATTAATGGTGGAAAAAACAATGGAGGTGATGGTAGAAGAGGAGGGGAGGAAAAATGATGATAGTAATAATAATCATATAATCAAAATAATAATATATATATATTTTTTTAAATTAATAACACCATCTCGATAGGTGACATGGTGGAGGATTAATGATGATAGTAGTTATCAATAAGAAGCATTACGAAGTGTGGTCCAAAGTAAATAAAATGATGAGAGAATATATATATATGTATATAATATTAAGGTTGTTTTTTTTGTTAGTAAGAATGAAAAATTCACAATAAGAATGAATAAATCATAATGAAAATTTTATTTTAATAATTTATTTAGAATAATAATAAAAAATTGAAATGAAATTTAAACTTTTTAATGTTTAGTTATTAAGATAAAAATGAATAATGATTAAAAGAATGATTTCATTAATGGTGGAAAAAACAATGGACGTGATGGTAGAAGAGGAGGGGAGGGAAAATGATGATAGTAATAATAATCATATAATCAAAATAATAATATATTTTTTAAAAAATTAATAACACCATCTCGATAGGTGACATGGTGGAGGATTAATGATGATAGTAGTTATGAAATAATAATAATAATATATATTTTTTAGAAAAATGTTAGTAGTTCATATATATATTAAATATAAATAATATATCAATTTTTTTGAAAAAAAAATTTATTTTCATTTTTCTTTTTACTTTCACTCCTTTTATAAGAATGAAACTTTGTTTAATTTTTTTATTCTTATTTTATTTTTTCAACCAAACACTAAAAAGATAGAAATAAATTTTTATTTATTTATTTTTATTTTTATCATTTCATTCTGTATTATCAAACAACACATAAATAACGTAATAAAATTTTCGAGACGTACGATACTATATATAATGTACCAAAAGTTATATATCTGTAATTTTATTCCATATTGAACTATGGTTACCTTAAGAATTACTTCAGATATTTATATTCGTAGACTGGACATGATTGTGTGCCTGAAACCACGTCTTCTTGAAGATAATGCCAAGATCGTGTAATATCAATTATCGTATGCGCTCTCTCTTGCTCGAAAAGATTCATATCTTGGTCAAAAGAATTCTAATTATTGATTCTAATTATTTAAATAAATAATTTTAAATTTAAATATTTATTTAAATAAAATATTTTTTAATTAATTATATCTATCTTCTATATTCGAAAGAATAATAAAAGAATTATGCATATTTTATATATCTGATAAAATAATAAAAAATTAATTTAAATATTTAAATTTGAAATACTTTGAAGATAAAAAAAATTCATGCCAAACACACCCTTCTATTTTATACATAACTGAATAAATTACAAAATTAGCGACGTGCTTAATCCTATATGCTATGTTCAGCTAGAAAGGGATATTAAATAATTGATTGATGGATGCCTTTTTCCCGTACGTTCCCTTAAATATTCCCTCTTTTCTTTTCATGTGTCCTCTTTATTCGTTCTAGCAATCATTTCCCATTCCAGCCGAAAAATACAGGACAATGGCAATTGCGTAAATTAAGAGAGGTCTCGCTAACAATATCCCAATGTGAACTTTCTTGCTGTTGACGTCCAGATATCTATAAATATTGTTGTGAAGAATGATTTGAAGTAGGTGATTACCGATCTACATTCCTTTTTTTTTTTTCTCGAAAAAGAATAATGATAATCATAATGGACATCAATGGAAAATTAATCTACAAATATATAAGTAATTAGTTGGTCCATAGTTTAGAATGGCGAACAAAATCACCGAGTGATTTCTTCTTAGGATGTACGGTCGTCAACTCATCATTGACGTTCTTTTTCCACATAAATGTAATCTTTAAAGCACATTTCATTATCCAAAAAGATTAATTTAAAAATTTTTTTAGTTATTTAA